GGGGGAGAGAGAGAGAGAGAGAGAGAGAGAGAGAGAGAGAGAGAGAGAGAGAGAGAGAGAGAGAGAGAAATAGATGAATACAGACAGGCATCAGACAGAGGAACTTTTTTTCCTCAAAAAGCAACGTTCCCTTAATGTCTATAAGGGACATCTGGAAGAAAATGTTTTCAAATCCAAGATCATATCTTGACACTTGGGACTTTGGGGTGTGGGAGGAGGATGCAGGGGGGCTGCTCCATTGCTCTTGACTTGTCCAGAAGCTGTGGGGGGTAGAAACACTGATGAACTGTAGGCACTACCTTCATTTCTGAAGCAGCAGTTATCACCTTCAGATATGCCTATTAAAATGTGTGTATACCAAAGAGACATTGAGAATTTCATTGGATGCTTCTTGGATCACAAAGCCCATTCATTGGCATTGTCAGTCACATCTGAACTAGTTCCTAGCAGTCAACTCCTCTCGCACCTCCCCTTGTGCCTTCTCCTGGAATGACTCATTACCAGAGTGTGTCTTGGAGAGAGCTATAAAGAATTCCACTTCCAGGAAATAGCACCGTTGTTCATGATATCATGCATAGAAGGCCATGTCTAAGTTCATTAGTTCTGCAGCATTGGTACTGGGATTCTAGGAAGAGGGGATGCTGACCCTAAGTCATTGGACCTTGGGGATCAGCCCTTTGCCTTTCTTGAGGACATGGACTGGGGGGAATTCTCTGAGCAGAGATCCGTTGTGGCTTAGCATTGGGGAGGAGTCATTCGTCCTTTCTTTGGAGTTGTTGTGAACCCAAGAGAGCTGCCTTAAGTGTTTGTATGTCAGAGTTGGGAGGTATTGAGGCAGAAACTAATGAATCTGCATGGAGTTTTAGTTGAGTATTTGCAATGAGTTTTACTTTGCTTAAGCAATCACTGCAATAAGCCAGAATAGCTTTCATTTTGATTTTGCAGCTCTTCATAAACCCTATGTTTGCAAATAATATCCTGCAAATAAGAAGATCATTATGCCTATTCACTTGATTAAGTGTTTTGAGGTTGGTTGAAAGTTTGCCAAAGGGTTTTCTAACCTACAAGTCATAAAGGCCGATGCCAGTGATTGTTGTGTTTGATCATGCAACAGAATAACCTGCAGGACTAGTATCGGTGCCCACCCCTCAAACCTTCCCTCCATCCAAGACTGCTATTCTGTGGGTCTTGGGTCTGGAGAAACCTTCTTTCAAAAAAAAAAAGAACAGCCCCCCCCCCCCCCCAAGAAGCTGGCCTAGAAACATACTCTGGCTGCTCTTGATAATTGTGTTTTGTTGCTTTATTTATTTAATGTTTTAATGAAGATAGGTAGTTTTTATTGAAGAAAATTTACTTAGATGTGATAGGAAAGAAAGAAAGGAATACCCGAGAACACAGGTTTCTCCAGAGTGGAAAAGGCAGAAGTGAGGGAGAAAGAGGTATGTGTTTGAGAGAGAATACAGGCTTGAAAAACAAGCATGACTGTTGGCTTATATTTTATCTGCTTCATCACTCTTAGAATTAATTTCACATCTTCTTGGTATCTTGGATATCACTCAGAAGTGATTTAACTCCAGGACTGTTTCTGACTTAGAACTTAGGTGAACCCTAATCCCTGAACTTCACTGGTGAGTGCCTAAGAATTTCTATAAGATATTATTTCCCCCCATGACTGTTGAGACTAAGAATGAACACTCAGGTTTTTCATCAGGTTCCATATTGCTTTACAAAACACTTTTTTGCATCCACCAAAGCTCCATTGATCCCCAAAATCAGGAAATCACCATTCAGGGCCCATTTCAGTATATAAAAAGTTGACAGTTGATTATTTTTAAACCTAAGAACTACTTTCTTGGGCCTAAACAGTCACTATAAGCAGCACTTGTGTCCTTCATCCAAATCATCTTTATGTTCAAATTAATCTTGACATTTAGAGCTCCTTGAACCTGCTTCACAACCTGCCAAACTCAAATGACCTCGAGGTGGCAGAGAGTGGGGGAAGACAGGAAAAGAAGAAAACGGTTTTCATCATGCTCCAGTTTCGCAGAGTGGTAGTAAACCAAAGGTGCAGATTTGAGAATTCAGAGCTGGAATCTGCGGCCTTTATCTCTTGGCTCCCCAGACATCCTCAGCCTCCCCCAGGACTGAGTCAGCAGGAGACCTGGAACTGGGTGGAACTGTCCCTGCTGCATCCAGAACCCTGCTGGCCTAAAGAAGAACAAAGAGGAAGAACAAAGAGGGGACTTCCCCCCAGTGCATACAACTCTCCTGGGCTTAGGGATAGAGCACAGGATCACTGTACCTCTGCCTTTCTTGGGTAGATGCTTGGAGATTTCAGTGTAAGCTAACTTCCAGTCTCTGTTCTGAGTTGTTCAAGGGGAGAACAAGGAGTTTGTTTGATTGGCTAATCTTGTGACAAGCAGTTTACACCCAGGGTAGCTTCCAGTCTTTGCTGCCTGATGCTGGTAGGCCGTTTTTCCCTGTAAGGCAGTGGAAAAAGTTCTGAAAATAAACAACATGGTTGCTTTCTGGGGAGAACATGTGTGGTTAGATGTCAGCTGAAACCACATATGGTGCCCGCATGATAGCAGCATGGGGGTGCAGAGGCCTGGGGTATGGAGGGGATGCCCCTCCTTGTCATGAAGTCCAGAGTCTTGTGTTTCCAGGAAGGAGGGCTCTCACTGTCAGGAGACCCCATTCAGGTGTCAGATCTTGTTAGTAGGTAGAATGTTCCAAAAGATAAGTGACAGGCTCTGGACAAAATCTAACACCTGTGTTTACTTTTTCTATTTTTAATGATCTAGCTGAGATGTGATGAGAGGCCAGTTTTGGGCGTTCACCAGCATGATTCCATATTTGCAGATACTAAATTATTTTTCCACCGGATAAAGTTATGTTTTATTTGTCTTTGGGCTACATCCAGTGGTTCTCAGGGCTTTCTTCTAGCTCTTCCTTCAGGGGTCACTCCTGGAGGGGACCATATGTAGTGGCAGAGGTAGAACCCAAATCAGCTGTATGCAAAGCAAGTGCCTTGTCAAAAGCTGCACTATCTCTTGAGTCCCATAAGTTACATTTTTTTCCTCTGTTAGAATGAGAAATTTACATTTGATGCTCTTTGGAGCTGGGAGATAGTACAACAGTGAGGGTGCCTCACATTTGTCTGAGCCAGGTTTGATTTCTGGCACCATGTGGTCCCCTGAGCATCGTCAGGTACAACCCTGGAGCCCCCCACCCATTGCCACTGGGTGTGGCATCAGCATTGCTGACTGACCCAGATATTCCTGGCACCCCAGGGTTTATGCAGCACCATATCCTCATACCCTTGAGCAGACCCTGGACCTCCTGAGCACTCCTTGGAAAGCCCCCAGGGTGGAAAAAATTAAAAAGATTCATCCTGTTAGCAACAAAATTGCCATACGTGTTGTTATCTTTGTTTTTTGATTTTTTTTAAAGTTGTAGGATCACACCTAGTGTCATATGATGGGGTTGTGCTGCAGGGATCTAACTCAAGGCCCACTCATGCTAGGCATGTTCTTTGCCACTTAAGCCACATTCCCAGCCTCTTACTCTCTATATTTTTAGTGGAGAGATGAAAAAGAACAAATTGGGCCAAAAAACTGAAACAAACAAACACTGTCCTCCCATTGTTGTTCATCGATTTGCTTGAGCGGGCCCAGTAACGTCTCCATTTTTGAGACTTGTTACTGTGTTTGGCATATTCAATACATAACGGGTAGCTTGCCTGCTTTACTCTTGGTAGCTTGCCAGGTTCTCCGAGAGGGGTGGAGGAATCGAACCTGGATCGGCTGGGCTGGCTGCGCGCAAGGCAAATGCCCTACCACTGTGCTATCACTCCAGCCCCAAATTGGGCCAGAAAACATAATAAAAGTAGGACCTAAGGTCTGCCTTTGTTATTTATCAAGTCTGATCAGAAGTGTGGCTGAGTTCCTTCCAGAATATTCCCTGAGGTGGGATCAGCTGTGTGACTTCTTTGTATCTGTATAAGGTACAAGGTGGACCAGTCCCAGACTCTCCTTAAGAGAGAGATAGAGAGAGCTAGAGATAGAGAGGATGTTGTTATTTGCCTTGGTCACCTCTTTATTTGTTAGTCTCTTATTAAATCTGAGCTCTTATTTCAATCTTCTCAAATTCCTTGGCAGTGGCCTTCTGTCTGCTTCATCTCACAAAGCACAGCGTTGATGAATGGAGTAGAATTGTGCCCAAATTGTCAGGAAACTGACTGACCAGAGGTTTTGAGCTGCATCTCTTCATGCAAAGATCCCATAATGGTTATCAGCTCGACCGCCCATGCAGAGGACGGCCTTTGCTTGGCCACCAGTGTACTCATTTTTATTTAACTGTTTGGGGCCTCTGTTCTCTTTGGTAAGGATGTGCTGGGCAAGAGAGAGTCAAGATTCTAGTGGTGGGTTCTTCCAAGAAAGCAATGTGCAGAGCTTTAGGCTGTGTCCCCCCCCATGGTGGGTCCACGGGCCCCTCCTAGGAACCTCTGCTCTTTCTGCACTGTGGTTCATCAGCCCAGGGTTGCTTTGCTCTGGCATTTTGGATCTTTGGAGAAGGAGGTTTCCAATTAGTAGTGGTGATGGCTGTTTAGAAGAGAACTGAAATGTAAACCAGCCAGAGGGAAGGCAGCCTTCTTCACAGACAGGCTGTCTCCTGTCTTTATATTCATCTCTAATGCTAGTCTCAGTATTATGGGACCATGTCTGCCTAGACATTGTGTATTTCTCTCACAAAAATGTGTCAGATGGGAAAGGGGATTGAGGAGCCCGGTTGTTGGTTAAGGTCTCTTGAATGATCTGAGACTCAGAATCTGGAATCTTCGACAGAGGCTTAGTGTCTCAGTAATGGGGACTATAGATTTGGGGAGGTGGGGTAGGGGTGATGGTGAGAGCTTTCATGAGCCCCTCTGGTGCTGTGAATCTTTGTGTGAGTCTGTAGTCAGCGAAGTGGCTAATGCCTGTGCTTTTTAAAACTCCTAGCTGTCTGCTCACTTGTTGCACCACCCTCTGGCTCAGAGGGCATCTTCTGCTCCTCCAGAAAGTCTCAGGTGCTCTGTGGGTACTTTGGTGAGTACACTTGACCCTTCCTACCTCCTTTCATGTTGGGAGAGCGGGGCCACCTTTGCACTGATCATCTGTGGGGATCATGACAGGGGAAAGAGTGAATTCTGAGATCAATCCCCACCCCCTTCAGGTGCCCGAGTTTTTTGGTCTTTTGAGTTTATATACGAAAAATGATAACTCCCCTGGCTGACTGTTGCAGAATTGCATGGATGGTGGGTGGGTGGGTGAGAGATGCTCGAGGGGGGAAGAAGGGAGGGGTAGAGAGTTTTGAAATGGTCCTTTTCTACTCCTCCCAGGGAGGCTGCTCACTGGAGGGGGCCACAGTCTGACCAGGCCATAACTGTTCATTGTCTCTTACTTGTATCTCTGTCCTTATTCCTGGCCTACAGTCATGGCTCAATGAGTGTTTCTTATGCTTGAAATGGAGGGAGAAGACTCTCTCTTGTGATGTTGTTGTGGACCCTAGTGCTGCTTTGTGCTGTATGAGAGATGGGTTTGCCAGGTGCCCAGGCTTTAGTGGGTTGGACCTACAATCTTGCCATGGGCTCACACCACAGGTGTGATCCTCAATTGCCAACTCCTCAGAACCATATGGAAGGTTGAGCGGGGGTGTGGTCAAGCAAGCCCCCAGTCTCACCCCTTTCTGATTTGCATATGACTTGATGGGTTCCACCAGTTTTTAAGGGCACCATATGACCCTAAAACACTGAATGGGGCTAGATGACCTCACTACTGTTCCTGCTCAGGGCACAGGGAGAGGAATACTGGCCCAAAACTCATGGCATTTTGGTGGCTCTGTAACACTCTGGGTTATAGCCACATCTTCACTAGTCACTGGGGTAGAGTTTGAGAAATACATCCTTAGGTGTTTTTGTCCTTTTGGCAACAGCTAGAGTGCGATGACAGAAAGGGAGATGGTGGGTTCTGCTCCTCACCAATGCTTTGTTCCAGCTTTTATAGATCTCAGGATTTGTTTCTATTGGGGATTAGCGAATCCCTTTCTTTGTTTAAATATGCTTTAATTACCCTAGTTCTGCTAATAAGGTACTGTGATTGCTCACTATGCCGTGTAAGATTCAATGTACCTGGCTTCTTAGGCATCAGGAGAGTTTATTCTATTTATTTACTTTTTTTTGGGAGGGGGGGGCGCACATTCTGCTGTGCTCAGGGGCTTACTCCTGACTCTGTAATTAGGAATCACTCCTGGTAGAGCTTGAGGGACCATATGGGGTGCCAGGGATTGAACCCAGGTCAACTCATACAAGGCAAGTGCCCTGCCAGCTGTACTATGGCTTTGGCTCCAGGTAAGTTTATTTACACTGGACTCAGCAGGGTCCAAAAAGTTCTTCAAAAGGAACTCATAGTCTTTAAACTATGCATTTAATTTAATAAAGAGAAGCTCAGAGTGACTGAGGGCTGGCATGTGAATGGAAGGAATGGAAGAATGAAGGCATATTTTAATTTTTATTTATTTTCTTTTAGTGGTAGCTCAGCGGGTAGGGAGTTTGCCTTGCACGCGGTTGACCCAGGTTTCATTCCTCCATCCCTCTTGGAGAGCCCGGCAAGCTACCGAGAGTATCCCACCCGCATGGCAGAGCCTGGAAAGCTCCCAGATATGCCCAAAACAGTATCAACAATCCTCACAATGTAGACATTACTGGTGCCCGCTGGAGCAAATCGATGAACAATGGGAGGACAGTGCTACAGTTTTTTAGTGGTGGTGGAGCATGTCGGGATACACCCAGTTGCGCTCAGGAGCTACTCCTCACTCTGTGCTCAGGTATCACTACTGGCAGTGTTCAAAGGAACATATGCAGTGCTGATGATCAAGCCAGGATTGGACGCATGGAAAACCAGTGCCTTAACCCCTTTAAAAATATATTTATTTTGTTTTGGGGCCACACCTGATGATGCTCAAGGGTTATTCCTGGCTCTTCACTCAGGAATGAGTCCTGGTGATGCTCAGGGGCCTATATAGAATGCTGGGGATTGAACCCTGGTCAGCTATATGCAAAGCAAATGCCCTCCTGCTATATTAGTCTGGCTCCTAAAGGATACTTTATTTATTTTTAGTTTGGGGATTTTTTGGAGGGACACACCCAGTGGCGCTCAGAGCTTATTCCTGTCTCTGTGGTCAGGGATCACTCCTGGAGGTGTTCAGTGGGGGCCCATGTGATCAAGACAGGAGCCCTCCCCACTATACTCTATCCCTTCTTCTTAAATATTTTTGGTAGAACCCTCTCACTCCTGTGTCCTTGGAACTGAAGACACCTTATTCTTTTTAATTTTTTAAAACATTTTAGCATTTATTGAGATAATAATAATAAACATATGATTTTTTTTTGCTTTTTGGATCACACCCAGCGATGCTCAGGGGTTACTCCTGGTTCATGCACTCAGGAATTGCTCCTGGCGGTGCTCAGGGGACCATATGGGGTGCTGGAAATCGAACCTGTGTCGGCCATGTTGGCTGTGTGCAAGGCAAATGCCCTACCCGCTGTGCTATCGCTCCAGCCCCAACATATGATATTTTTATGTTAAGGGGTTTACCTTTACAATTTTATAAACTTTTTAAATTGAATCATTTGACTTGTGGGACCCCAGGAGACCCCTTCTAGTGATTCTTGGCTGACTGAGCCAGTGATTCAATGCAAGGACCCAAAGATGTGGCACTAATGGGGTTCTCTGAGATAGACCCTTACCAAGCTGTTCATGATCAGATTTCAGTCATGCAGTGTTCCAACACCCATCCCTCCACCAGTGTACATTTCCCAGCATCAGTGTTCCCAGTTTCCTTTCCATCACCCCCTTAGCCCCCTCCAAACCTGCCTCTATGAAAGTTGCGTTTCTTCTTCCCTCCCTCCCCCTGCCCCCTGTCCTCTCGCTCTCCTTTTGGGCATTGTGGTTTGCAATAATACTGAAAGATTATCAGTATCCATTTACCTACTTTTAACACTCAGTTCTTGTCCACCGTGTTGATTCCTAACTATTATTGTCATACTGGTCTCTTCTCTATCTTACACACACACACACATGCACACACACACACACATATACACACACACACATATATATATATATATATATATTTCTTTTTGGTTCACACCCGGTGATGCACAGGGGTTACTCCTAGATTAGCACTCAGGAATTACTCCTGGAGGTGCTTGGGGGACCATATGGGATGCTGGGAATTGAACCTGGGTTTGTCGCATGCAAGGCAAATGCCCTACCTGCTGTACTATCATTCAGCCCCCTCTACTATATATTTTTATATACCACAAATGAATGCAGTCATTTTGTATCTGTCTCTCTCCTTCTGATTCATTTTACTCAGCATGAAACTCTCCATGTCCATCCATTTATAGGCAAATTTCATGACTTAATTTTTCCTAACAGCTACATAGTATTCCAGTATGTAGATGTGCCATGTTTTTTTTTTTTTCATTCGTTTGTTCTTGGACTCAGGTTGTTTCCAGATTCTGGCTATTGTGAATAGTGCTGCAATGAACATAGGAATAAAGGTGGTATTTCTCCTGTATGGTTTTGGCCCCCAGAATATATTCTCAGAAGTGGTATTGCTGGGTCAAATGGGATCTCAATTTCTAGTTTTTTGAGAAATGCCCATATTGTTTTCCAAAACCAATTTGCATCTCCCTGATGATTAGTGACAAAGAGCATTTTTCTCATGTGCCTTTTGGCCATTCAAATCTCTTCTTTGAGATAGCTACTGTTCACTGCTTTGCCCCATTTTTTGATGGGGTTGGATGTTTTTGTGCCAGTCAGCATTTCCAGCAGCAATGAAGGAGAGTCCTTTTTTCATCTGTGTGAGCAGTGGTCGCTCTTGTTCTTTTGGATAGGTACCAGTCTCTGTGGTATGAGATAATATCTTATTGTTGTTTTGATTTGTATCTCCTTGATGATTAGTGATGAAGAGCATTTTTTTTCATGCGTCTTTTGGCCATTCTTCTTTGAAAAAGTTCCTGTTCATTTCTTTGCCCAATTTTTTGGTGGGGTTGGATGGTTTTTTCTTGTTCAAGCAATGCCTTGTATATCTTTTATACCACCCCTTGTCAAAAGGGTATTGGGTGAATAACCTCTCCTATTCCATATGCTGTCTTTGTGTCTTGGTCACTGATTGTTTTGAGGTGCAGAAGCTTCTTAGTTTAATGTAATCCCATTTGTTTATCTTTGCTTCCACTAGCTTGGTTAATGGTGTTCGTTAAATCTTTAGCTTCAATATTGTGGAGGGTTTTGCCTACATTTTCTTCCATGTACCTTATGGATTTGGGGAAGACACCTTATTCTAATTATCCTCTGATTTCTAGAGGGGAAATGGGGCAAAGAAATGAACAGAAACTTTTTCAATGGTGTTAGGGAAGGAATTACCTTGCTCTTGGTCATTGAAGCAGCCAGAGGCCAGCCCTGTCCTTGAGTTTGTAGCTGAACCGGATATCCTTGACTTCTATTGATTCTTGGCTGACTGATTCAGTGATTCAGTGCCAGGGCCCAAGGATATGACACTGTGAGAGTCCTGTGGTTCTGGGGTCCTTGGGCCACCCCAGTATTGCTCAGAGCACCACCTGGGCAGATACCCATAATGTTTGTAACTTTGTGTAGTGCTGAGGAGTAAATTGGGTTTCCAACATGTCAGGGGACCACCTTAACCCCTGTAATCTCTCTCCCACTCCTGGCAGATGCTTTCCTTATACCCAGAGATCCCACCCCTTTCCTTCTGTCTCCCTCCTAATTGTTCATCAAACATATATTTGTCATGAATTTCCTTTCATCCTTCCTCCCCCATAAGCAAGCTGAGAGGCCTCCCTCTTGTTGAGATGATGAGGGTGGCAGGAGGCATTGAGGGAAACCCACCCTGATCCACATGCCTGGTAGGCCAGGAGCTTCTCTGAGGGAGGGGAATAGGAGACAGACCCTGAAAAGGGGGAACTCAATCCTCACAGCACTCTACACTTGTGCCTTTCAGGTCTGCCTCCTGAGAGTGCTGA